TTTAAAAACTTTCAGGTCCCTATACATCTGTCACATGAAAAGAGGCATTCGTCCTCTCCTTATTCTCAAGATGCTAACTTCTCCTAGCTTCAGTAGAGGGAATTCCATGTGGCGTACATTTTTTGCCTCAATACATTTCCTGAGATTCATGGAGTGCTGGAAACTCAGTCTCYTTCACTCATTTCAATTTGGACATAATTTTATCTTTACTAGGCAGGCCAGTTACTGGACCGGAAAGAAAAAAAATTTKKGGGGGGRGTAGAATTGTAGCCAAGCCCTTGYCTCAAAGCTGCAGGGCGGTGGCCAAGGTGGAGTGGAGTGCACAGAGCCTGCCATGCCAGCACGGGCCTGAGGTGGGGCAAGTAGGGATGAGGCAAGCCAGGGCACTCCGATATGTCATCCATGGTGGCACTGCCCAATCAGTGCAGCACCTGCCCCACACAGTGCTATAGCCYTGAACCCCCAGGATCCATGACCCGCCAACCTCAACCTCCTACTTCCCCACGAGCAGCAAGAAAACAGTAGTGGGGCCCACCAGATTGGAAGTTCAGGCTCAAAGGTTAACCAGTAGTGTTAGCGCTTTTCCAAACCCTGATTAGCACTGGCCCAAGTGCTATATAAACCTCAAGACTAGCGCATTCAGGGAGCAAATCCCATGGGAGTCCCCTCTCGTCCCTGCAAGAGTCCTGTTTCTATTCTTCAYACTTGAATAAATCCTACTTCTTTCACTCTGGCCTTCCTGCTGCCCCATGAATTTTATCCTTTGGATTCGCGAGACGAGACCCAGCCAYACACCACTCAGTGGTAGTGGAGGAGAACTGGGCTTTGTGGCTGTGACCCTCAGAGCTGCYGCTGAAGCAGAGACTGAGTTTCATCTCAAACTCGAGTTTCAGCATGCTGCGTCAACAGGCGTACAGGGGCCAGCAAGTGGAAGACATTTCTTAGCTCTGTGCCAAAGCCCATGTGTCAGTCTTGACCACAGCGAGCTTTCAGGTTATACTTTTAATTTGCAAAACTAGCTATAAATAAAATATTAAGTCAATCAGCAACAGGGCAGACACTGATCTAGATTCTGAGAGGCAGCAAATACCTGGTCAGGCAGGGGCTCTGTCATGCAGAGGATTCTGTTCATTTTCCCCCTCAAGGGTTTTAGCAGAGGAATCCCAGGATCTTATTGGGGTTTTAAATGATTATCCTGGCTGCTGGTTTGAGAATTAATTTAAGGTAATTGTCAACTGGGAAACCAACTGGGGAAAATTGTGGTACATGTTCTCAGGAGAGAGAATAGTTGAATATGGGAAAGGGTCTGTCTGTCTGTCTGTCACACTTTGCATATGGTTTGCGTGTGTTCCRCCCCCCCCCCAAAGGTTCGCATGCTTGATTTCCAGTGTGACAGTGTTGAGATGGTGGAACTTTTAAAGGTGGGGCCTACTGCAAGGTAATTAGGTCATGGAGGCACCACATATTTGCAGAGTGGGTTACTTCTCATGGGAGTGAGTTGTTAGGAAAAGAGCAAGCCTAGCTTCTGAATCCCTCTTCCTTGGTCTCACCATGCACCATGTGATCTCTCCCTCTCGCATGTGCTTCCACCATGAAATCATCCACTGTGTTCTGATGTAGCCAGAAGGCCCTCACCAGAGCCAAATACATGTCAGTGTTATGCACTTGAACTTCTGAACTGTGATCTAAATAAACTCCTTTTATTAATAAGGCACTCAGCCTCAGGGGTTTTATTATAGCAACAGAAAATGAACTAAGTATCTATCTATCTATCCTATCCATCCATCCATCCATTGCTTATTAAACACACACATACATCACAACTATAATTGTCTTATTTGCCAAATGGAGTTCTGAAAGTACAGAGGGCCAGTTCAGCCTTCCCTTGCAGTAGTTGCAGACCTGCATCCCTCCCATCTTTAGGCCTGAACTGTGCTCAGCCCCATTTTTTAGAAGCCTCCTTCRCCTGGATTTTTTTTTTTTTTTTTTGTCTATTGGAGGCCACCAGACCCTGCAGGAACCAAAGATAATCCTGATGAAGAGAGAGGCAGACTTGCAGCTGAAAATCCTTCATTCCTGGAGATGCCCAAGGTCCACAAGAAATGGCTATGAAGGTCCTGCTATCCTTCYTCGGAGGACAGTGGCCATGCTGCTTCCTCTCTGTCCGAACTTGATTTATGGTTTAACTTCTGAGGKTTCCTCAGCCAGCCCCAACAAGGCCCTCTAGGCCCACAGGAGTCCTGGGCTGAAGCCTGCTGAAAGGTCTAGTCCTAGCACTGCCTTCCACTCAGGGTGGGGATATCCAGAGCAGCACAGTCTGTGCACAAACCAGCAGAGAAATTCGAGCACACGGAACGYGTGAACCGTGACGACAAAGAGACGTTGCAAGTTTCCAGTTCATCAGCATCCCTCTTCATGGAACGAAGGCAATTTACATTTTTCTGACTATCAGCTGCCTTCCGAAGGTGAAGACTCAGGTGGCCTTATCCCGACATCATCATCRTGAGATGGATGTTTTCCCAATTCCTCCCACTACATAGGAAATGCTGTGACGTACTGGACCACGAACCTGGTCCTACTGCTACTAACTTAGGATCAGGACTTAGGATCAGGTAGGAGGGTCTGCTTGCTGGATTCCTGCTAGTGCATCCTTTGACACTACCTAAAAGCTTGTCTGGGTATCACTTTGCTACAGATGCTACTGCCAGAGGTCACACTAKGCTCTGGTGGCCCCAGAAGCTCCATGCTTAGCTTATTTATTTGGGACTGACTTCTAGGTCTGTCTTTCAGTGCCGGCAGCCTGGTTCGGACTTAAACCCCTGGGTTCAACATTACTCAGATTGTGGGTTTTAGGTGAAACCTAAACTGCAATGTTGAACTTGGAATGTGAACCTCCCATCTATGCTTACGCCGTTCATGGGAAGTTGTCTTCCCTGGGATTGCTCGATAACTTTAGCTTTGAAGTATAATGCTTACTAAGGCAAAACTCRTGTTGTAAATATTTACATCATGTTTCAATACTTCAGAAGCTTAAAAAGTGCCAGGGGCTAGCAGTTCTGAGAAACAGAGTTTTGCTAAAAACAGAGGTACCACTGGTGTGCTTCAACCTTTCTCTCCCAGGCCAGAGTTGCAGGTGGGCCCTTGGCCGTGGCGTGGTCACGTCTGGTCCTGAGATCCCTCATCTTTTACCCAGTGCGCTGCACAGAGGTTTGCATATTCTACATACGACATCTGCATGCATGATCCTGGACTGTGCAGGYCAGCATGCCCAGTATTTCAGGAGGCTGCAGGAAGTTACTCTATGACCTATCCCCCTCAGCTAAATTTGTCACTTCTCCAGATTTCAGCTCCTGCTGATGTTTGCCTAGGCCTGCCAGAAGACAAATCCTTCCCCCAGCTGGAGGACTGCTACAGCTAAGTTCACAGATCTACAGTCCGTGGCACACCTGCTCTGGGTTCTGGGATCAATACGCCCTGGCATGATGGCTTTGGGGATGCCTGAATTAGGAAAGCCTGTAAGTTTAGAAAGAAATCCTGGAAATAGACTTCTGGTCACAGCAAGTGTGACTGGTCAAGAGCTGGGAGAGCACTCCATGAAAAAGGAGACATTTCTTTTTCTGGCTTCTTGCCATCACTTGGAGGGGATCTGGGTCAATTGAAGTGTTGCCACTGGAGTCTCTCATTGCCAAGGGTAAACAACTAGGGTGGGAGTTAGGAGGGCAGGGTCTTACGCAGGCTGCACTTTATACTGTTGTGGCTTTGATTAGCTTCCATAAGAACCAATAAGTTGTTTGGTTAGTATGTTTTTCATGCTGTGCATAAAGGATAATAGAATTTCAGAGGTGGGATGAAGACTCTTAATTTTCTAAATCAGCACTACATTTTAAAGGTGAAATGACTAAAGTTCTGGAGGTTAAAGGTGTCCCTCACTCCGTGCAAACCTGTAGCATTTGCTATCCTTAGAGTGGGAGGGAGGGATCTCTCCCATACAGTCCCGAGGTGAGCTTGGTGCAGACATCTTCCCAGCAAGATAGGATTTTGAGTGCTGCATTTTGAGTTCAGATGTCGGAGCCTGGATGTATGTCCCATTTTTGCTTARATGTCTTTAGAAGACTTTTATTTTGTAGAGTTCTTGAGCAAATGGATTAAAGGGTGCYGAATCTGTATTGATACATCTCACAAGGGGTAATGGGATATAAATGAATTGCAAAAGCAATAAATAAGCTTATGCTGCCTGTGCCAGGGAGGCAAACAACGGACTCTTCCATTACTGAATCCCAACCCACTCCACCCTTTCCATAATACAAAGAATGGCCATTTATCCAGCTGCCATTGAACCAGGTGCTGTGCACTCATGTCCAACACTTGCCGTAACCCTGTGGAGTAGAAATTATTACAAACATCTCCAAGTTAGATGGTTCAGCTTATTGTTTTTAAGTCTGTATAATGGTTTAAAAGTGATACACATTCAGGAAAAACTGTACTTTAAATTTTACATTTTACCCTTTTCCTGGGATCTTGATAAAAGATAACCATTCACTTTTTTTCCTTTTGAGTACAAGTATTCAATAAATCACGTGAGCTATCAACATTTATTATAAAAAAAAGCTTTGCATTCCATGATTTTGCCTGGCCACAGGCTAATGTGAGTGTTCCAAGAACCCTGAAGGCAGGCGAGGCTGTTTTGATGTTAGGTAGGTGAGGTGTATTCAGTGCTTATGATATTATCAACTTAGGATGGATATATTGAGATGCAGACCCAATGTAAAACAAGGTTCATCTGTGTTCCCGTTTCACAGATGAGGAAACTGAGCTCACAAATGTTAAGTAACTTGCTCTAAATCACACTGCTTGGTCAGGGTGGACTTCTAATTCAGCTGATTCCAAGGATAAAGACATGGATCTACTTTTCAAGGTTCCGTTACAGCTGTGTGACCCACCCTCCAACTCTCTGCCAAAAATGTCCCCTAAGGTGCCAGTGAAGTGGTACCCTTGTCTACCTGCAAAACTCTCCTTCCGACTCAGGCAGCATCAGCGAGGCCATGGGGTTCTTCATCAGATCTGCCACCACAGGGTCCTTGGCTGTCATGTAGAAGAAAGGAATTCCAGTACTGTTGTTGAAGGGACCGTCACTGATGGGCAGGCAGTTCCCAAACGGCAGTCCTGGGATCTAACAAACATCCCATAAAAAATAAATAAATAAAATAAAGTTATTGTGTCCAACTACAACTAAAATATAAATATTTTAAAAATCAAAAGAGTCTTTTTCAATGGCAGAATTGTGGATTGATGTGAGGTGTGAGCCTGTCTAGGAAATACAGCACCAAGAACTGTGTGTGTGTGTGTGTGTGTGTGTGTGTGTGTGTGCGCGCGCGCGCGCGTGCGGGGTGGGGGGGGACCATGATGTCACAGTGAGTTTGACAAGGAGTAAATTAGGGCCAGGTGGTACCAATCTATCCACATCACCTCGTGCTGGCTTCAGGATTTCTCTGTAAGTGATGCTTAGCTGTGACATTCTGTTTGAAAGCTAAAGAATTATTCTTGAAGCTGCCTATGAATAGCAAACAGAGTCACTTTATTGAATGTAATGTTCTTTGGGGGAGGGGCAGTGAAATTTCTGGGGGTGTGAGTGGTGCTGAGCCTTTCTTCAAACTTCCTCTTAACTGCCTTCACTGCCTCCCCCAAATTTTTGGCAACTTTGGGAATAGAATTTAATTCTTCACTTTAATATCTTGCTTGCTGTTTGAACACCAGGAACATTCTATTATTGTTTCTTTCGGGGCTATACAGTTTTCTCATTCACTGATTGCTTTTTTATTGTAATCAGTAACATTTCATTATATAACTTGGCAAGTTATGGGGAAAATGATGCAACCATTTTAGCATAAAGGAAGTCACAGTAATATGATATACCAGTTTTTGTTCGTGATCATAGGGTGGGTGAAGGGTAGTGTATCATGTTTCTGTGATTCAGATATAGATAAAAATATTTAAGTCTTAGGTTTTCCCAAACCCTACTGGTGTAGCATCTCAATCTTACTTTATTCCTTAAAGTACACCTCTTTGTTCCTTGGCTCAGAATTCTAGGACTATCTTTGTCTTTGAAGTGTTGCAATGGGGTGTAAAATTGTAGAAGGAAGAATTGTAATGGTTTAAGCATATAAAATGTTAAGGACCCCTCCAAAATGGTACGATAATATCATTTACAGATGGCGTCTTCAGCATGTCATAAATTGCCCAGCGTCATGTTTTACATGCATGCAAACGTTTTCTGAATTTATTAAGTTTGGGTTAAATGTCAGTATTGGAAAAGGCTAAGATAGATATTTGGTTGGAAGTAAAAATATCTTTAATACATTGGCACTAGACTTTCATTCGAAAAGATTTGTTTTAAACAAAGATTAGTTTTATATTTAAACTTTGTATTTTCTTAAGCTGTGTTTTAGGAGTGAAGCTATAACCATGAAAACTCATTTGTATGCTGGGCATATCCAACCGGCTCAGTATCTGACACAAAAGGGGTTCAGATCATTGTCGTATAGATGTTATTTAGATTTTCTTTTTAAGCAAAAAGGACCTTCAAAACTGCCTAGTCAACGYCTTAATTTTATAGATGAGGAAAGCAAAATGGAGAAGCCAGTGACTTGGCCAGATGGAAGCCATAGAGACCCAGAGCTGGGTCAAGATTCCTAGGCGATGCCCATTGCATCTTAAAGATGTTAATTATTTTTTGCATGAAGTAAATAGAGTTCAAAATACTGCCCTGCAATAAAACATTGACATCCACCTGAAGGGCTCGAAAGCCTTTCTGAGGCTGTATACTTATGGAAGTTACATTCTTATTTCTTATTCCATGGCACTCCAGGGACAATCTTATCTAACAGGTGAATCAAACATGTTTGGACTGAACCATAGAAAATACAGCCTATGACAGCTCATTCCAGCATTTACACATCTGCGTAAGTCTTCTTTCCAGAAAAAAATCATCAAGTTTCACTTTTGTAAATCTGAATTTCCATCAAAGCAGCGGTATGGTTTTTCTCCCCATCCCCACTCGGTTCCATGTCAGTAGATGATGGGGAAGACTCTCTGCTCCGTGAGCCGCAGGGGCTGTTCCTGCCAACTCCGCTGTTCCAAGGTTCGGACTCCTTTTGTCCGTCTCTCTCGAGTCAGACGCCCGTTTATTTTTCTTTGACCATCTCTAGACAGGGACTTAGTCCCCAACCATCTGGCACGAAGCCTGGTTTTCCGTGGCTCCCCCACACCCGCTCCCACACTTTGCCAGTCTAACCCACCCAGGCACCGTCTGGTTCCGTTATCTGCAAGGCGTCTACAGCCCAGTGCAGCCCACTGGGCACGTCTGTTAAACCCAGATCTGAGCACCCGAGGGGTCTCTAGCATCTCCCCGGCCCCTGGGCGCGCCGCCTACTCGCCAGGCCACCGCATGGGGGGCCCAGCCGGGGTGGCTTACCTTCTCGTGGGCGGACACGGTGGCCAGACAGCCCCAGGCGCTGGCGTGGGCCAGGGAGCGGGCGGTGCCAGCGCGCAGTCTCGGGTCAGGGGGCGCACCGGCAGCCGGGCCGCTTTCCCGCCGGTAGGAGAACATGCCCGGGGGCGCCGGGGGTGGCCTGGMGCGGGCAGCCCCGGTCCGGGGCCGCAAGTGCGCGTCCTCCTTGTGAGCCGAGGCGGGGAAGCTCTGCTGCCAGATGCTGCCAGAGTCCTCCAGCAGCGCGGGCAGCGCTTCCTCGGTGGAGGCGCTGTCCAGCTCTTCATCCACCTCGTTGGTGACAGCCCAGGACACGGAGCTCACGATCACGTACCCGGCGGCTGGGGACAGCAGGGCGCTGCAGCACAGCAGCCAGGAGAGGCGGGTCCCGAGCCGCGCGGACCGCTCGCCCCGGCGCACGGACATCTTGCAGGCAGCGAGCCTGGCCGCGGGGACCGCTAGCAGCGAGCTCGCGGCCGGCCAGGACCACAGCGCCCCCCGGAGGCGGAGAAGAGGAGCGGAAAGCCCTGCTGACCACCGCASGATTCCTGGGTGGGGTCCCGGGGCTAGCCCCAGGGGTGCCCTCACAGCCCCACGCCACTTGGAGAAACCGAGGTTCCTGGAAGACCAGATGCCACTCAAATGCTGCGTGTACGGCCGCCGCAGCCGCAGGGTACAGAGTCCTCATCGCATGCCAGGTCCCGGGGTGGGTTCGTCTTCTGCAGGATGGATAGATCACACTCCTCTGCTCCACAGCTGGGTGACCCTGCCAAGTCACTTAACTCCTCCGTGGACCATTTCTTTCATTAGAAAATGAAGACAGATTCTCAAAGGCATGATGGATGGGAGGGTTAAATTATTTAATATTTTGAACAGGCTTAGAACAGTGTGTGACACGGAGCCAACTAGGTATTTTGTTAACTGAACCCAAGGTAGGAATTTTATCTCCTTCGTATTAGACAAAGAAAACCGAGTCAGCAGTGGGAAAGATTGACAGCGATTCTGTCTAATGCCAAAGCTCAATTTCTTTCTAAGGAAATAACCATCTTACACTTTGCTCTGTCTCGCCGGCATTGCCCCCAATTAATCGCAAAGCAGAAGCAAGTTGTTTACATCTAAGCTAAAGGAAAGGGGAACTACGGTCCAGGTGATGGGTAGAGTGGGAAAATAGTTGTATTAAAGTATTATTAATAAAGTTTGGATGTGGTTTGAGTGTGTCCCCCAAGGCTTCATGTGTTGAAATTCAGTTCCCATTTTGAGGTATGATAAGGCTGGAGACATGATCCAATTGTGTTTAGGCAGTGGGCCCTTTGAAAAGTGATTGGAATTGAAAGGTCCTCTGGGTGGAGTTCTTCCTCCCATGATTGAATCCTTGTGGTTTTATAAGAAGAGGGAGAGAGACCACACACACACACACACACACACACACACACACACACTCCCTTTCTCTTGCCATGCAATGCTCTTGGTCACCTCAATACTGCTAGCAAGAAGGCCATCACCAGAGTGGCTACTGGTCCTTGCTCCTCCATTACCTTGAGCTAAAACAAGTCTCTTTTCTAACTTATCTAGTCTGTTGTACCTAGCCTTTCCTTTCTGTTCTTCATTCCCTTCCTGAGTAATTCCGTCTACTCCCATGGCTCCCACTTTCTAACTTTCTGGCTCGCACTCTTCCCCTGTCCTACCTGTGGAATATATATATATATATATATATTTAATACCAGGGACTGAACCCAGTAGCATTTTACCACTGAGCACCTGGCTAATTTTCCCTGAACTTGTAACCCTCCTGCCTCAGCATCCCAAACTGTGGGGATTACAGGTGTGATCCTCCATGCCCAGCTCGGAATGCTGTCACAGTCTTGAGAGAAGCAGTATAGTACGTCATGAAAAGYATGGGTCCTGACTCAAGAAAGTATTTTGTTAACTGAACCCAAGGTAGGAATTTTATCTCCATCTTATTAGACAAAGAAAACCGAGTCAGCAGTGGGAGAGATTGACAGCAATTCTATCTAATGCTAAAGCTCATTTTCTTTCTAAGGACAATAACCATCTTAACCTATCCTACCCTGTCACCTCCTCCATGGATGATAGTGGTACATCATTTGACCCCTCTGTCTTCACTGTCTTGTCAAGAAAATGCAGATATGTGACTGCCATGTCCTATCTGTGACTAAGGCAATAATCTTAAGAGTTATGCAGGAGTCTTATTTGGTCAAAATTTCCTTACTAGATTTATCTCTATTAAGCCTTCTGATACTTTCCCAGTTAGATCCAAACTTGAAGGGGATTTAAGAGAGTGAACAATAATCACCTACCAAACCCACCATATATCATGAACCAAGTGAATGCTCAATACATGATAGACATTTTTATTCATCTTTTGGCTACTTATCCCAAATATCTAACAGGTCACTCAACTTTTAGCAGATAGTTTTCCAGAGATTTCTTAAACTGATAGAGTTCAGACTTGTTGGAATAGTTTTGAAAAGCTAGAGATTGTGTATCGTTTAGGAGAGATTCAGATACCTATTTCCTTAAACCTATATGTTAGTCRAGATATGGGTGTGACTGTGTTTAATGTTATTACATGAAGCCAAACTGATTTAGAAATTGATTATACCAACAGCTACTATCAAGTATGAGAGTTCCTGTTTTTCCTCATTTTTATCAATGTAGATGATTGTTAGTTTTTTTTAATTTTTATTCACGCCCCCCCCCAAATCTGGTGGATAAGCAATGGTGTCTTCTTTTTATTTTAATATGCTTTACCTGATGACCACTCTAGAAGGTCACTTTTCTAATGTATTGGCCATTTTAATGTCTTTTGTTGATTACCTGTTAATGTCTCTTGCCTATTCATTTTTACCATGGTAGAAACACATCAGATGAATTCTCAACTATGTGCACACCATCATGCAGCAGATCCCAGGATTGTTTCATCTTGCAGGACTGAAACTGTTTCCACCCAACAGTAATTCTCCATTYCTTTTTTGTATGGCTACTGAGAGCCAAGACTCTACTTTCTCTTTTTATGAATTTGACTCTTTTAGATACCTTAGATAAATGTAATAATGAAGTATTTGTCCTTCTGTGACTGATTTATTTCATTCAGCATTTTTGTAACATTTACCCATGGAGCAGCATAAGACAAATTCCTTCTTCTTAAAGGCTAACATTCCGTTGTCTATGTATACCGCATTTTCTTTACCCATTCATCACTAGTGAACATTTAGGTTGTTTCCATCTTGTAACTATTGTGAATAAGGCTGCAAAGAACCCGGGAGTATGAATATCTCTTCCAGATTCTGTTCTCCAATACAATTTGGAATGATAAGTTAACCTTTGAGGAAATCAGAGGAGAAATTTAAAAATTCTTAGAGATAAATGAAAACACAGACACAACATATCGGAATCTATGGGACACATTGAAAGCAGTTCTAAGAAGAAAGTTTAGAGCTAAGAATGCCTACACTTTGGTGGAAAAGTGAATTAGTAAAGCCACTATGGAAATCAATTTCCTCAGCAAATTTGCAATGGAATCACCATATGATCCACCTATATCATTCATCAGCATACTACAGTGATACATGCATATCTACGTTTATTATAGTACAATTCACAATGGCACAATAGCCAAGTTATGGAGCCAGCCTAGGTGTCTGTCAATGGATAAACAAATCCCCCTGGCCACACACAAATGGGAGTTTTATTCGATCATAAAGAAGAATGAAATTATGTCATTTTCTAGAAAATAAGTGGAAAGGGAGAATATCATTTTAAGCAAAGTAAGTCAGATTTAGTCATTCTACTCAGGGGAGAGCAGTCTCTTCAACAAATGGTTCGTATGTTTTCTCTCATATGTGGAAGCTAGAGAGAAAATAGGAGAAAGAGAGGAAGATCTCATGAAAATGGAAGGGAGGTCAGTCGAGTAGAAGAAGGGGATGGGGCCAGGGGTAGGAATGGAGGTACTGGGAAATTAAATTGACCAAATGATGTTATGTATAAATATGCCACAATGAAACTATAATTATTATGCACCAATAAAAAAATTTAAAAGGGGGGCAGAATATCCTGCTCTTAATTCTCTTGAATAAATAAATATACAGAAGCTGGATTGTTGTACCTTATGGCAATCCTATTTTTGAGCGACCTCTACATTGTTTTCCAGGGCTACCATGCCATTTTGCATGCTTACTAACACAGGGTCCAGCACTTGTTATTTTCTGGGATGAGTGTGTGTGTGTGTGTGTGTGTGTGTGTGTGTGTGTGTGTGTTGTTTTGATTTGCATTTCCCTGATCATTAATGATATGAGCATCTTTTCATGCATCTGTCGGTCAGTTGTTTATCTTCTTTGGAGAAAAACCCATTGAGTTCTTTGCCCATTTTGAAATGAGGGTTTGTTGTTGTTATTGAGTTGTAGCATGGAATTTTCTTCTATTTTGTGCTTTGTCTATTTCTCTTCTAATCTTCATTATCCTTCCTTCTACCAATTTTATACTTTGGATTTTCATCGTTTGCTAGTTCCTTGAGTTGTAAACTTAGGTTTTTTGATCTTTCTAAATGTAAATGTTTGCTGCTATAAATTTTTCTTGATACTGCTTTTGCTGCATCCCATAAGTTTAAGTATATTTTATTTTATTTCATTTTTGTCTCTGCTACTGTTGTCTAGTTTCATCTCTTTGTGGTGTAATTCCAATATTTTTTAAGTTGTTAAAGCTTGTCATGCGACTTACCATGTGATCTAGTCTGAAGAACATTCTGTTTGCTTGGGAAGAAGGTGTGTTCTGCTGTTGGGTGGAATGTTCTACATATGTCTCTTATGCTTGATTGGTCTATAATGTTGTCCAAATACTCTGTTATCTTATCGATCTGTCTGGATGATCTATTATTTATAGTAGTGCATTGAAGTCTCCTATTATTGTTGTTATTAGTATTTATTTCTGTATTCAGGTTTTTCTGTTTTGGTTTTTGATGTTGTTATTGTTGTTTTGTTTTGTTTGGGGCATTGCTGGGACTGAATCCACGGCCTCCTAAATGGTAAGCACACACTCGACCACTGAGGTACATTCTCAGCCCCTCCCTTCAGTTTTGTCAGTACTTAGTCCTTATATTTGGGTACTCTGATGTTGAGTGCATATATATTTATAATTTTTCTATATTCCTGGTGAATTGATTCTTTCAATATTATATAATGTCCTTCTTTGTTTCTTGTGACACGTTTTTTAAAAAAAATATTTATTTCTTAGTTGTATACAATACCTTTATTTTGTATATTTATTTTTAGGTGGTGCTGAAGATCGAACCCAGGGCCTCGCACGTGCTAGGCGAGCGCTCTACGGCTGAGCCACAGCCACAGCCCCCTCTTGTGACACGTTTTGACCCCAAAATCTATTTTGTGTCATAAAAACAGTTTCTCTTTTGG